ACACTTTTTTTTTTATGTATGGGCGCTTTTTATTTAACTTTATTTAACTAAGAAGAAAATCATATACACCTAGGATGACTTGAGGGTGAGTATTTTATGGGCTAATTTTCATTTTTGGGTGAACTAACCCTTTAATGTCTTTGGCATTTAATACCTTTACCAAGCAACTTTTTTTACTCAGGTCGATTTGAGAGGATCACAGGTATCATAACAGACTTCCACATGATCTCTGCCTCTCTCCCCTCTAGGGTCTTCTTCCTGGAGATGACTGATGACATTGCTATCGAGAGGGTAACACTTAGGGGTTTGGATCCTGTGACTGGAGAATGGTGAGAAAGAATCTGCTTAGTGCATTGTAAATGTGTGTAAAGAATCCTTTCCTTTAGGTTCCACTAAACCAGTCATAAGGGTAAATTTTTTTAAATTGAGATTTATGCATCATCTGAAAGCTGAATAAAATAAGCTTTCCATTGATGTATGGTTTGTTAGGATAGGACAATATTTGGCCAAGATACAACTATTTGAAAATCTGGAATCTGAGGGTGCAAAAAAAATCTAAATATTGAGAAAATGGCCTTTAAAGTTGTCAAACTGAAGTCCTTAGCAACACATATTACTAATCAAAAATTAAGTTTTGATATGTTTACAGTTGGAAATTTACAAAATATCTTAATGGAACATGATCTTTACTAAATATCCTAATGATTTTTGGCATAAAAGAAAAATCGATAATTTTTGACCCGTACAATGTTTTGTTGGCTATTGCTACAAATACACCCGTGTGACTTACGACTGGTTTTGTGGTCCAGGGTCACATATCTGCATTCTGAATGTTGTGTTTAAACTCTGCAGGTATCACAGCATATATAAACCTGCTCCTGGTCCGGAAGTTCAGTCCCGGCTTCGATTTAACCCGCGGCATTCAGAGGCACAGCTGCAAAAGAGGCTTAAGGAGTACTGGAACCATGCAGCGGACCTGCAGGCCATCTACCCACAGGCAGTGTACATCAGCGCTGACCAGGACCCACACACTGTGTTTGAATCACTGGAGAGTAGGCTAGTAGGCCGACTACCTAAAGTCCAGACTTACTGAGTAACATTTGAGCGCTAAACACTGTTATTGGGATTCTCCACCCAAAAACATTTTCTCTCATCATCTACTCACTCTCATGCCATCCAAGGTGTAGAACTTTCTTTGTTCTGCTAAACAAAAAATTTGATTTTTAGAAAAATAATCCATCTCTCTGAGTCCATATAATGCAAGTGAATGGCACCCTCAAAGCTGATGCTTCAAAATCCACACAAAATTAGCATGACAGTAATCCAATACAACCCCTGTGAATGAATCAGTGTCTTCTGAAATTAAAATGAAAAGTGTGTGAATAGAAGAATAGTAATATTTTCAACTTTTTATACTATAAACCATTGCTTCTGGCCACTCTAGACAACTATCAAACGCAGGTTCATGAGTTTACTTTTGATGTAAACTCCAGCACGTTGTGAAGCGAGACATACGCCCATTGTGAAACTCATGCAAGAGGTGATGCAAGACAGTTGGCAGCAATGGTTTATAGTTTTATGTTTATATAAAAGTTTAAAATATTAATATTTTCTCACACATACACACACACTTATTGTTTTTCTTCAGAAGACATTGATTCATCCGCCGGTGTTTCATGTGATTTGCATCAACTTTGATGGTCCCATCCACTTACATTATATGAATACACAGAGATGGATTGTTTTTCTAGAAATCACCATTTGTGTTCCACAAAAGAAAGAAAGCCATAAACTTCTGAGATGGCACGAAAAAAAAAATGTTGTTGTTGGATTAAATGTTAGTTTTAATTTTCATTTCATCTTGTACACTTTGTAAGTCTGATAGGCTACTTAATAAATTACTTATAAATTTGACTGGGTTATCTTTTCTTGGTCATCATTTTTTATCTTATATTTTAATTAATGCTGCCATGTCTCCAAATTCTTCATGGGAAAAATACATTACCCAACCAATGTAGTCATTCTTGCCATCTGACCGTGTGTGAACTCATGGGAGTGCATGGCACCTGCTAATTCAACGTATGTTTAATTAACATAGCGAGAAAAAGCAGACTGGCCAGACCCTTTGTGGTGGGCAGTATTAGTCCCGCTTCAGTGGTCTTATGCTAAGGAAACCAGTCGATGCTGCTTTGATTATTAAATTCGCTCTCCTTCTCTCTTCCTTTCTTTGAGGTCACTGGATGACTCCCACTGGGGGGGAAAGGAGTTAAGTACACTGGTTAGAGGAACATGTTAACAGGCTGATTTTTAAATTCCCCTCAGATAGTGTGCTATGACAGGCAGACTCTGACTTAATTACAGCAGATGAGGTCCAGAATATGCATCTCCTCTGAATATGTAAACATGAGGGCCAGTGTAGATCCAAAGGGAGAGGGGGCTACAAAAATGAAATGTGTCTGAATGAGGAAGTATTCCCTGAGCTCCCCCTGGTTCTGTAGCACCCTAATCTGTTTATACTCTGAACAAAGGTTTTATTTCAAATCTGTTCTATGTAGGGAAAAAAAAGAGATGGGATTTTTATAATGCTAGAAACATTCATATTTAAGCTTATTCAATGTGAGAGAAAAGGTGCTTAAAGGGATAGCTCACCCAATGATGAAACTCGTCATCATTTGCTCACGCTCATGTCATTCAAAACCTGTATGACTTTGTCTCTTCTCTGGAATACAGAATGTTGGTAACCAAACTATTTTTGGTTCCCGTTGACTTCCATTGTATGGACAAAAATACAATGGTAGTAAATGGGACCCAAAACAGCATTCTTCAAAATATTTTATTTGTGTTCCACAGAAAGTCAGTCATGCAGGTTTGAAATTATATGAATAAATGATGACAGAATTTTCATAGTAATTTTTGGGTGGACTATCCCTTTAAAAGGCCTCACAACATCTTTATGCCATAAAATGTATACAAGTATACAATATAACAAAATTATTTTTTTTGCAGATGACATTGAGTTCTTATTCCACTGAAATCTAAATCTAAATACAGGAAAGTATTGTCCTAATACTCTGTATTAATTAAGAGTAAGCTTGAAGAAAAGTAGAAATAAAAGAAAACAATGAGAATTTTAATAAAAACCATAATTTGATTAGGGTTATGGTATCAATGGGCTGCAATGTGTATCTTATAATATTTTAATTGTTCTAAGCAAGAGGCCTCAGCAAACTTCTAAGGGTGCAGCAGGATGATTTACAATAATTGAAATTAAATTATATAAAAATAATCCAACTTAATTAAAATGCTAAAACACAAAATCAATAATGTTTCTCCTCAACAACTTTTAAAAAATGTGATGTAATATTATATTAATTAAGGTGTAAACATTTTGTATTAAAGAAAACAGTTATTGAAAATGTTTACACTTTCAAAAACAAGCAACTTCAAGCAACTGCACATAATTAGCAGCAGAACATATTACTATATATACTATATCTCAAATAAGATGCGTTAAATGACCTTCGAGTCGCCAAAAAAGCCACGGGACTTTTATTTTGGTAACGGCCTACCCGGAAATGTCCTCACGTGGTGGACGGAGGAAAAACACGTGTGGAACTTCACCTCATATATGTACAGCTGTTTGTGGTGTGTTTCTACGGTTTTAAAGTGAATATCACTTGCAAACATACATTTCCGCCATTCAAACGAAGGATAATGAGCCATTTATCATCTTATGAGTAGTCTGACGTGTCTGTGCGAGTGAAGTAAGTTATAGTTATTTAGCTACTACAGCACCTGTTTTAATAGGCGTTTATAGCCTGCTTACTGTCATGGCTGAGGACGTGCTGATGCTCAACATCTCCTCAGCTCCGGTAACGTTTCACAAAAAGACAAATCGAAGACCTCTGTTAACAGCAGAGAAATGGGCACAGGTGAGTCAGTCCTGCTCCCTATGTTGTTGCTGTCATTTTCATTACACACTGATGTAACGTTACTCTGGTTTACACACAAGTTTCTTTCAGCCTGATTCTAAAGTGCTGTACCTTTTGTGTTGATGTTAAAGAAAAAGCGAGAATCAAAGAGGAAGGCTGTCTTTGAGCCCCAGGAGAGCAGCGCTTCCAAACAGAGGAAGATTAATCAAACTGGTCAACAGCACACACATAAGCAAAAGCCGCAAACCCCCAGAAGCCCCTCTCAGAGGAGTAATAATAGAGACACAGAGGAGAACGCGGACCGGGGAGAAAACTCTCCCGCAAAGTCCCCATCAAAGGTGAAAACATTTCCAAAGAAAGCTCCCGAAGAGCATGGAGACCATGGCAGACCATTTATCAAGACATCGTCTCTCTTCAGAAACAACCCAGAGATCCCTGATGTCCTCAGGTAGATGCAACACATTTGAGCTTGTGTGAATGGACTGGGGTCTTTCTCAAAATTGACATTTACGTGCAATTTACTTGTCCTTTTTTTCTCCCAGTCCTGCTGTAAATCAAGTAAAGGAGAAAGTCTTCACCAGCAACATGTTTGAAGAACTCAATCTACATCCTCATCTGGTAGGAACAAATCTCAATATCGCTTAACAAATCTCACAACTAAATCGCTTCTGCTGTCTTTAGTCATACATTTCTCTCCTCATCTAAACTGTTTTACAGGTGGCGACGCTCCATAAGGTGTTGAATGTGACCAGCATGACAAGGTACTGTAGCTTCGTCTTACCTTTTATTGTCCACCTCTTTGCATTTTTCTCATGTTCATCTGTGTTTTTAGTGTCCAGAAAAAAACCATACCAGTGTTGATGTCTGGTAAAGATGCTGTTGTGCGCTCCCAGACTGGATCAGGTGGGTTTCCTGCCATGTTTCATGTAAATAAAATGTAATTATATGATTTTTATCAGTACCATTGTTGTTATTTGTATGTTATTTGTATAGTGATTGCTGCTTAAGAAAATGTTATATTATTGTAAATGATTTATTGAAATGATACTGTTAATGTTACCATGAATATAGACATTGTTGCTGATATGGCTTTAAAACATAAATAAACAAATAAATAAATTGTTTGCTGATTTGAACTGAGAATGAAATGGTGTGGTTTACATTAGGGCTGTAGCTAACAACAAATTTGTTAACCTTTAATCTGCTAATTGTTTATTTATTAATATCTTATTAATTGGATATTATACTACTATTCTACTACTCAAAAGTAAAAGTGGTTTCTTAATCATTAAAATTTTTTTGTTTTTTTTTACTACTTTAAAGTGTAATTTATCAGTTCACAGTGTGAAATACCTGAATAATTGACAAAGAAATTTGGTGTTGATCATTTGGCTTTTACTTTATTAGTTCTTGCTGCCATAATTTGAAGCCGTATCAGTATTATGTGTATTTACGATTAGTTCATCCATGCTGTTTTGAAGGACTCTGGATTTGGGCTTTGAGAAAGATCTGACTGTGATTCTGAATGCTCTGAATGCCACTGGGTTTGCCAGGCAGAATGTGCTGCTTTCAGCCACGCTCACCGAGGGTAAGATCGTCGTCCACTCACTACCACTGTTCAGAGTGTGTCTGGATGTAAAGTGAGACAGTGGCATAAGCGCTCGCTTTTAGACTATGGGAGGTACCGTACTGGCTTTATTCTAGTGGAAACAGACTAGGAGACTAGGATGAGCTGACAGGAGATTTTGTCTCTCAAGTCCAGTCTTTCTCTTCTTTGCATGACAGAGCAGGCTCTTTATCCCATTGAAAACTGAAATTGAGCCTCTTATAACACCTTCCTATTTTCGTAGTGCTAGGTCACAAAAACTTCTTTCACAACATTTTGATCACAAAAGCGTTTTGGTGACAATCTACATAGGTGTGCAACCGTTTATGCTGATCCTGTTCTCTTCACGTCCAGGACTGTCCCGATTAGCCAGTATCAGTATGAAGGAGCCCGTGAGTATCCATGTGTCAGAGGGGAGAGAGGAGACAGTTGAAGTGTGTCCCCAGGCAGCCCCTCAGGCTCTGTCAGACAGCTATGCTGTGCCTGAGAGGCTGCAGCAGCACGTTGTGGTGGTGCCCAGCAAACTCCACCTGGTCTGTTTGGCTGCCTTTATTCTGGCCAAATGCAAGGTACAGGACACCATATGTTAAAGCCCAGTTATTAACGCTCAGTGGTCTTGTTGTGTTATGCTGTAGATCACCTCAAGTCATTTCAGTTTGGCCTGGTGAATTATTTAAGCATTTTATAATCTAACAAATATGGGAAGAAGTAAGCTGGAAAGTTTTCCATTTTAAAATGTATTTTATTCCAGTGATGTTTTCTGCAGCCATTACTCTAGTCTTCAGCGTCATGTGATCCTTCAGAAATAATTTTAATATGCTGATTTTGTGCTCAAGAAACATTATAAATGTCTTCACTGTCACTTTTGATCAATTTCATGCATCCTTGTTGAAGAAAAGTATTAATTTCTTTCAGAAAATTCTTACTGACCCTAAATGTTTGAACTGTAGTGCAGTTACCGGTAACACTTTAGTATAGGGACCAATTCTCTCTATTAGCTAGTTGCTTATTAGTATGCCTATTATTAACATATTGGCTGTTTATTAGTACTTATAAAGCACATATTCTGCATGACCATATTCTACATCCTTAATCCTACCCAATACATAAACTTAACAGCTACCTTACTAACTAATTAATAAGCAGCAAATTAGGAGTTTATTGAGGCAAAAGTCATAGTTAATAATGAGCATTGGACCTTAAAATCAAGTGTGACCCAATTACCAAAATATTTTAACAGATAACCAACAATGTTGTTACT